AAGATACTATAGAAATGAGTATTATTTTTAACTTCAATTTTATACATAGTGCATGGTATTGCACTTTGTATTGCTTTCATTTGTAAAAATAAGGAGCAATATGACTCCTCAAAACTACCACATATTGATTTTACTGTTTTTTTACGTGTATCACATGATTTGATGTAACTAACACGGACATTAAATTTGGCCTTCATTCGAGCAACAATTTCTTTGGGCTTTAGGCCAAGTGTTTGCCTTCAAACTTAACAGACGTAGTGACATATGAACTTCGAAGTGCAGTTTCGATGTCCAGTTGACATTATTGGACGACTACACGTATGAGCCATGATGGGGATACAAATACCGCTTACGTCCCAAGCTTTCCTTAGGCTTTTTCGACGAAGTTCTTTATAGCTTCAAAAGTACTATTTTTCATGTACATATAACCTTGGCTTAAGGATAATTCTATCGTGTTCTCTTAACAAGAAGTATTGCACGATAAAAATAAACATAACTAAACAACATTACACTTCAAATTAATTTCATATAAAACTAAATTGTTCATACCTTGCTAATGATGTTGTGCATGACAAGGTCCTGACAACACGAGCAACAATTCGACACAGCATAAATAATTTATAATAGTTTCGGGCAACATTTCGATGCATCGTTAATAATTCAAATATATTACGAACATCACTTATACATAAAATAACATAAATAATTTAGAAAAAATAAGAAGTTTACGTGCATAATTACGAAGTGGGATAAAAATTTGTTGGAAAAAAATTAGCAGAATTTCACCGCATCGTACATAATTTAAAATGCTAACGTGCATTATAACAATATATTACTAAAAATTATGTACATATAACCTTGGCTTAAGGATAATTCTATCGTGTTCTCTTAACAAGAAGTATTGCACGATAAAAATAAACATAACTAAACAACATTACACTTCAAATTAATTTCATATAAAACTAAATTGTTCATACCTTGCTAATGATGTTGTGCATGACAAGGTCCTGACAACACGAGCAACAATTCGACACAACATAAATAATTTATAATAGTTTCGGGCAACATTTCGATGCATCGTTAATAATTCAAATGTATTACGAACATCACTTATACATAACATAACATAAATAATTTAAAAAAAAATAAGAAGTTTACGTGCATAATTACGACGTGGGATAAAAATTTATTGGAAAAAAATTAGCAGAATTTCACCACATCGTACATAATTTAAAATGCTAACGTGCATTTTAACAATATATTACTAAAAATTAATGATGAAAATTAAAAAAATATTAAATCAAAACAGCTAGTTCTAAACCTAGAGGACCAACATCATACTCTAACTTGTCATGCACATGAAAGCAACCATATGCTCCTTTACAAAGTCAATTTTCGAGCCATTAACAATCTTTGAGCTAAATTCATAGCCCTACTTACAGGAGCTACAACGAACATAAATTTAATGATAACATTACAGTAATTTAGAAACCAAGACGTAATTAAGAAGCTGCTAATTAGGGTAATTAACAAGCTTCCTACATTGCAATTGGTTGGTATGTCATATTCAAATTTATACAAATTTTGACAAAAGGTTGCTCCATGACAACTAGTTTTAAACCTTTTAAAGGTGATTTGAGAGCAATTTTTTTTTTAATATTAGATTTATTTTTTTATTTAATGATCATGATGGTCACATAGCTCGGCTAATTTATTTCGATCTGATCTTGATCCGAGCGAAAATTCAAATCAATTTTCGAGCGATCAACGATTTCAAGCTAAATTCACTGTCTCAACATCACTAGGGTTGTTAACGATTCAATTCGGAGCTGAGCTGAGGTCGACTCAAAATAGGCTCGAAGAAAATTCGATTCAAAATTTTGGCTCTTAGCTCTGCTCATTTATTTTGATCCGAGCAAAAATTCGAATCAATTTTCGAGCCATTAACGATCTTTCAGCTAAATTCATAGTCCTTCTTATAGGAGCTACATCGAACATAAATTTAATGATAACCTTATAGTAATTTAGAAACCAAGACGAAACCAAGTGTGTGATTATTATTATTTTTTTTGGAAGATTGAGTGAAGTTGTTATAAACACATGCACACCGCATGACTAAGGTGACTTTCATGTGCATGACTAGTTGAGTAATGGTGTAGTCTTAATGCAATAGTTTAATTTTAATTTTCTTATAACCAAATTTAAAAAAAAATCAAAAAATCAAACTTAAATAAAGGATTCATGAAATTCAATTGACAATTTACACATGTTATGATATTAGGTAGCCTTTGAAAGCATATGCGAAAGCTATTGAAAGTCGAGAGAAAGAGCGAAAGCTAGCTTGAAACGGCCCTCGGAGTGAGGCTGACTGAATCCATTCATCTAATCGGGAATGAAACGAAGCTTTCATCAAGTGGGTAAGCTAAGAAGTAGTATGTCAATTGATCTTTGTTCATAATCAAACTCCTAACAACAATTAAATTTCAGTTAGCTCATAACATAACCGTTCAAACCCAATTAAAATTTTATTCGATTGGTTCGAATTCACCAAAATTTCAATCGGTTAGATTTTTTGGATTTCGATTACAATCAGTTTGGCCGATTTGGAAACCGGGTCATCCTAACCGACAAAATGCTCGCCTCTTAGGGCCCGTTTGGGGCAACTTATTTGGTGCTGTGGTGTTTTGAAAACACGCCTTACTTTTTTGGGTAAATTACGTTTTGACAGCTTATGCATTTTCAAAATGCAGAAAACAACGACCTATCTCGGTACGATGACAACTTATTGGCAACGGTCTAGCTTTTCTAAACTGAAAGCATATGCGAAAGCTATTGAAAGTCGAGAGAAAGAGCGAAAGCTAGCTTGAAACGGCCCTCGGAGTGAGGCTGACTGAATCCATTCATCTAACCGGGAACGAAACAAAGCTTTCATCAAGTGGGTAAGCTAAGAAGTAGTATGACAATTGATGTTTGTTCATAATCAAACTCCTACCAACAATTAAATTTCAGTTAGCTCATAACATAATCGTTCAAACCCAATTAAAATTTTATTCGATTGGTTTGAATTCATCGAAATTTCAATCGGTTAGGCTTTTTTGGATTTCGATTACAATCAGTTTGGCCGATTTGGAAACCGGGTCATCCTAACCGACAAAATGCTCGCCTCTTAGGGCCCGTTTGGGGCAACTTATTTGGTGCGGTGGTGTTTTGAAAACACGCCTGACTTTTTTGGGTAAATTACGTTTTGGCAGCTTATGCATTTTCAAAACGCAGAAAACATCGACCTATCTAGGTACGGTGACAACTTATTGGCAACGGTCTAGCTTTTCTAAAAAAATAAAAATTTGTAATAGTCACCGCACCTAGCTTATTAGCAGAATATTTTTAATAAGCTTATCAACAGATTATCCAATAAGCTGCAGCTGCCTCAAGCAGACCCTTAATCTTCCCATATTGGCTAAAAAACATGTGTAGTGCCATGAATGCGCTTCCTAGCTTTATTCCATTTGTATATAAATCAATGAAGTTCTCATGCGCAAGGAGAAAAGTGTTCAGCTCAGACTTCATTAAAAGGAGTTTCTATTTTTGAAATCTAACGGCTAGCTTTGCAACATGCTTTTCTTCTGCATGTATTTACTAGGCAGCTTCAGAGACGTGTTTCAAATTCTCTCTCTCTCTCTCTCTCTCTCTCTCTCTCTCTCTTTCTCTCTCTAGGAATTAGAGTTATGGAATTTGACTTCATGCCTTAAAAGCCCCACAATTCTTATGTATTTATAGATATAACACATAAAGTTTGATATTTACACTTATAAGAGCACATGTTACAAACCTATACATGGAAATGTGTATTTCATTTTTAACATAATGAGTCACGAGCCAATTTTGAGCCTATTTCAGGTTAGAACAAATTCAAATAACACAATTTGAGCTAGTTAGTTTAAATTTTGAGTTGGATCTAGCTGATTCCAAGCTGAAACGGATCCAAATATCTCAATTTGAGCTAACTGGGATTGACTTCGAGCCAGATCGAGCTTGATACAATTTCAAAACGACTCAACTCGAAATCAAAACTTTGTCTATTGAGATATTTCGAAACCAACCCTAACTCGACTCAAAATTGGAACTTTATGATAAAAATTTTTTACCTCGAAGATGATTCACACGCCGATTTTAGTTGGACGTAGGGCTGTGAATTTACCTCGACTATATATATATATATATCTATGTAGGTAAATACATAGATACATACATACATACATACAGACATATATATCTATGTATCTGTATATGTATATACACACATCCACTCGTGCATATACACTACTCTGTATATGAACATTTTGATCATAATGAATCTCATAATTCTTATATTTACATTGATGAGAATGAATTTTATAATTCTCAGACTTATTTTGTATAAAAGTTGACCTTAATTTATTAGAATTAAATGAAAATATGACACTCAATCAAACTCAATGAAGAAAACAAAATTCATGTAGCCGACCTAACTTAATGAGACAAGGACATATTGATTATTCATTTATCATACTCACCTCAAAATAAAATAAAATAAATAAATAAAAAATAAAAAAAATACAATATTTTTAAATATTAATCGGATTCTTTGACCCAATTACTACTCCCACACAACATTCTAAGCCTTCCTTGTCCAATACCTTCTTCCCCAATCAAACTTTCCCTATAAAACCTATTGTAAGGAACAAACTCATAATTCCTTAAAACAAAAAATAATCGGGCGGTTGGGGAATTGGATGGTTGGCCGTTGGCCATTCCCCTTCCCACTTTATTGTACACTAACCGCATCCTTTGTTATTATGCGGTCACTTTACCTGGCTCTCAAAGTCCTCTGTTGCGGTCACACTTGTTTCAGTCACCGGTGGTGACGGCATCCCCTCCCCTCAAAAATTCATTCCTTCCCTTCAAAAATTGCCCTTTAAAAACCCTACTCCGCCTTCCTCTTTTCCCCGGGCTCCCGCACTTCAGATTCTCTCTCTCTCTCTCTTGGAGCCAGCTATGGATGTGTTCAATGGCTTCCTGAGTGCGATCATGCATGTTTTGGTCGCTGTGCTGCTTCTAATCTATCTTCGATCTCGTGGATTTGGAGACTGATAGCATTTGTCTTCGTTACCCCCTTTTGCAAAGAAGATGTCGGAGGAAAGGTGGTTCTGATAACCGGAGCTTCTTCCGGCATTGGTGAGGTTAGTAGTTTTCTCACAAGTTCTCCCGTTCTTTAATTACTGTTATGAGCAGAGCAGCATTTGATGGACTTGTTGGATTGGTCGGAGTGGGGATTAGGTTTGGGAGAAAAGGGGAATGGATTTGAGCAAGAATTAAATCTTGATTAGGATTGATTTGAAAGCAGTTGAATTCTTTGACCCGTCTCTTTTGTTTGTTGATTAATTTATTAGTGGGGGGCGGTTGTTTATTTAAGGCAGATTTTGAGGTTAGATATGTAAATTAAAAATATGTTTGGATAGGATGCATGAAACTTTGTCAAAAACTATCATATAAAGTAAGACTTATTATATATAGAAAGGGAAAAGTAGCATACACAATTAAATATGATCAAATAATATCGAAGAAAAATGAACTATTAAATCATAGAGAATTTGATGAGAATTGACATTATAGATTTGAATTGTGCTTTGAAATTTTATAGTTTGATTTGGAATGAATGTAATATATGATTAATCAATGAAAACTTGTATTTTATTTGTTTTAAGAATAAATTTGATTAAGTTAAAGTTCATCTTATTCAAATTTATTATCCTGATGTGTCAGCATGTGAAGATTATTAATTTCTTGCATCTTTTGTATAGTAATAATTACTAAATTTAGAGTTGTGATCATATGAAAGCCATCTCTGCAAGTTTTTGCTTTATTTTGAACATGAATTTACCCAATTCATAAGCTTTTACTTATCTAACACCGAACTTCACTTTTTGCATGTTTACCCTCCAAATCCTTCTTATCACTTAAAAAAAATCTCTTTTTTGATATTTAATGAAGTGAGTACTCTTTTTCATGCATAGGCAAAGTGGCATATGTATGTAGAAATGAAGATGAGGTGTTTGATATGTAAATACATAGGAATTGAGCGGTATGTATGTAAATCTTCCTATATATTATTATTCTATGCCCAACTATTTATGAGCAACACTCGCTAATAATTCAGTTCATTTTTTTCCAACACGGTTTTCTGATAAATAATATACTCAAACTCCCTCTTGAATATTAAGGCCCCGTTTTGGGCAGCTTACTTGGTGTGATGCGTTTTGAAAATGCACACAAGACCATTTGGGTAAACTGCGTTTTGACAGTTTTTTCAAAAAGCTGCATTTTCAAACCATTGAAATCAGTGTTTTTACATCATTCCTGACTAGGTGCGGTGACAACTTTTTAGCTGCGGTTTGACTTTTCAAAAAAGAAAAAATCATTGAAATCAGTGTTTTTACATCATTCCTGACTAGCGGTGACAGCTTTCTAGCTGTGGTTTGACTTTTTAAAAAAGAAAAATTAAAAATTATAATAGCCACTGCAGTTTTTTGAACAACAGATTATTTTTTAGCAGCATATTAATAAGCTACAGCTGCCTCAACTGACTCGAATTTGAGGAGCCTTAAATTCCTTATTTTGCTAAATGAAAATTGCTATAATTTTTGTAATATTTTTGCATAACATTTAAATGCAAAGCCGCATTTTTTTTAATTTTCTTTTAGAAAGGTGAGTGTCAAAAATATAAATTTAATATAAACAAAATCTTAATACCAAAGCTTTGATTATAAATTTTAATTAAATTGCTTAGCATTTAAAGAAATGCCAAATTTATGCAGTATTTTATGTCCTACCTGAACTTAATAAATTATTTAAAGGTATAAATAATAGCATGGGCCATTATCACTTATTCTTCGTCATTAATTGTATCACATGCACCTTCAATCATTTATTGTTTCACCTAGTAAGCTTGGAAGCATTTGGTGTTTATCTATACACCGTCCCCACAAGCCAATGAAATTATGAAAGATATTTATCATATTTTGTTTGTAAATGAGTTAATTCAAGCTCCCATTATGATTGTAATTTGAATTTGCTGAGTTTGAAGAAAAGTGAATGGGAGAAATTCGGATAGATAAAGTAAAAGATTTAACATTTATGGATTGATTTAAATGGTGTAATTAAATCATTAAATTTATTATCTAATTTAATCCATATTAAAATTTTCCCGTATGAGCCGTTCAATTAACTTGAATTAGGATTGATTCAAATATCATAAACTTCACAAGGAGAGTCGTGGCTGATTTAGATTTGATTTGTTGGCTTTTCAAGATGGTTAGACGAGCTATTTATCGAGCAAAGCTCGAGCTCACTCGCTAGTTGGCTTAGCTTAGTTACACCTCTGAAAACATGTTAGGTAACAAATAAGTAATCATAATTGAAAGAATAAATGCCAATCTTATTAACCAACAAATATAGAAATGTAAATGATTTTATTTATTTTTTACCAAAATTTTAATTAGGCTTCCCTCTATAAAATCATGGATTTTTAAATGAAAAGCAACAAATTTATAAATCCTAAAACCCATACATGAATTTTATATAATTTGGTATTTCTGAGTTTGTATCGGGCAATAAATGTAATGGATGGATTATGATGGGTTAATTAGTCATTATAGGTTAATAGTATGAGTGAAGACTTTTGCATTGATGATTTCTTTTTGTTTGAAAAGTTTAGATGCATGCCACACAATTCTTATGCATTTACATATCTAAGACATAAAGTTTAATGTTTACATTTATAACATTTAGGTGCTAGAAACCCATGCATGAAAAGGTGTATTTCACTTTTAAAAAGTTCATGATACAACAACAGCAACAAAACCTTTATCCCACTAAATGTGGTCGGCTACATGATTCCTTTTTAAAAAGTTCATGATAGTGATATTTTTAATGTGATATTGAATATTTGAGTCTTATATACATATGGAAGTTTCGGCGTTCAGTATGTAAATTTATAAGAATTATGTGGTATCATGTAATTTGGTATTCCTAAGAGGTTATGTTACATGTGAATTAAAATTGGAAATCTCTAAGTTCGCAAAATTTATATTACTATTAGATTAAATTCATGACATCTAACATTACTTTCTTCACATTTAAACCGTACAAAATGCTCCGTACGAATATTTAATTCTCAACCCATTTGTAATATTCTTATAAATATTTGAGAAGTTTACAAACATATCACCCAAAGTTTGATATTTACCCTTATAACGCTTTCGTGCCATAAACTTATGCATGAAAATGTGTATTTCGCTTTTAAAATGTCTGTGATGGTGTTATTTTTGATGTGATGTTAAGAATTTGAGTGGCATACGTATAAATATGACTGTTTATGTGTTAGATATGTAAATACATGAAAATTATGTGGCATGTATGTAAATGCCCAGATTTTTTATCACAGGAACTGGCTTACCAATACGCAAGTAGAGGAGCCTTTCTGGTTCTCGTAGCCAGAAGGGAGCAAGCTCTAAGAAATGTTGCTAAGGCTGCAATGGAGAAAGGCTCCCCAGATGTGTTAGCGATCAAAGCAGACATCTCCAGACAGTCAGAATGCAAGAGGGTCATTGATGAAGCCATCGCTCACTTCGCCCAATGTAAAATTTTTTCCTGGAAGATTTACATACATACCACTCAATTCCTATGTATTTACATATCTAACATCTAAAATTCAATTTTTTGCATACATACCACCATACCTATGCTTGAAAATGTGTATTTCACTTTTTAAAAGTTAAAATAGTGGTATTTTTGAAGTGATATGAAAGTCAAAAAAATAAAGTTTAGTTAGATATGTAAATACGTAGGAATTTGGTGGTATGTATGTAAATGCCTCCTATTCAGTGATCGCATTTCTTATATATTTACATATCTAACACCTAAAATTTTATATTTACATATCTAACAATCAAATCTTTAACATCAAATAAAAAATACCACTATTACTAGCTTTTTAAGAATGGGATACACCTTTTCATGCATAAGTTTATGACATCGAATTGTTATAAATATGAATATCAAAATTAGGGTCATATATATATATATATATATATATGAAAATACATAAGAATTGTGTGATATCTATGTAAATTTTTATTGGCTTTATTAATTACTAGAAGATTTACATACATATCACTCAACTCCTATCTATTTACATATCCAACACTTACTTAAAGTTTTACTTATATGTCACCTTAGCTATGCATGAAAAGGTGCACTTCATTTTTTAAAAGTTATAATAGTGGGTTTTTTGATGTGATATAAAAGATTTGGGTGGTAGAAATATAAAAAAAAAACAATGTTTAGGCATTACACATGTAAATACATAAGAATTGAGTGGTATTTATATAAATGTCCCTTAATTAATTAATTACTACTCAATACTCCTATTTTGTATTGCAGTGAATCATCTTGTTGTTAATGCTGGGCTTCTTTCCAGTTCTCTCTTTGAAGAGATCACTAATATATCTGCTTTCAACCAAGTTATGGTAAGCACACAGTGTAAAAGTTTGTTTGGTTTGGATACTGCTTTTGGTAAAAGTTAAATATGTTTTTCCATGCATAGATTTATGACACTAAGGTATGGTAAGTGTAAATATCAAATTTTGGATGTTAGATATATAAATACATAACAATTATGTGGTATATATGTAAATTTTTCTAATTTTTTTTTTCAAACTGTCAGTTAAATTAGAAGATCATAAAAATCTTTTAATTGTTTTTCTTAAGCTCTAATTTTTTTGCAAATTTAACTATTTGAGTTTTCACAGGATGTAAATTTCTGGGGTGCAGTATACACAACTTATTACGCTGTTCCACACTTGAAGAATAGCCGAGGCAATATTATCGTCACAGCCTCGGTAGCTGGTCGTGTCCCTACTGCAAGAATGAGCTTTTATAATGTAAGGGGGAAAAAGAAAACCTTAGCTTCTTTTTTTATTATTCGGATCTGTTTGGGGAGAAAATATTATGTGCGGGGCGGACCGCACTTCCGGACGATGGTCTAGATGAGGCGACGCAGCCGTGTATTGCACGAATTCCCATCCGAACTTTTGTCCGGACGTGCGGTCGCCGCCGCGAATAATATTTGCTCCTGTTTGGGTTAATTTTCTTACTATTTTGTCTTTTAGAAATATGAAGCTGCTTTTTATAACTTGTTCTGCTAAGGGTGACAATTATAGTAAATGGGTCATACTACTTTTTAAAGAATTTTATTTATCAACCATATTCAAAGAAGTTATTCTGCCTTTAATAGCTTCACAATCACCATTAAAAAGGGGGGCATTTATATACATACCCACCCAATTCCTATGTATTTACATATCTAGCACCTGAACTGTACTTTTTTACATTTATACCACACAAATGTTTCACATCACATCAAAATGTATGTATGTAAAAATTGATGTTCAGGTGTTAGATATGCAAATACATAGGAATAGAGGGGTATGTATGTATTGTTTCTTAAAAATTTGTAGCTGCCCAAAACACAAGAAATCATTGCGTTTGGAGTCCGCATGTCTGGAGGACGGTCTGGATAGACCGCCGTGGGATGCACGGCGGTCTGGCCGCTTGGGCTGCTATCTAGTCTTGCAGTCATCCTCACGTAATGATTTTCCCCCAAACGGTCCATCATTCTTCTCCTTCTCCTTACCCTATAGTTAAATCTTTAATTTGATGATTAAATGTTTAATAATTCAATTTCACAGGCAAGCAAGGCTGCATTAATAAGATTCTACGAAACACTAAGAGCAGAATTTGGATCAGACATTCGGATCACTATACTGACACCAGGATATGTGGCTTCTGAGCTTACAAAGGGAAAATTTCTTCAAAAAGGAGGTGAAATTGAAGTCAGCGAGGAGATTAGAGATGTAAGTAAATTATAACTATATTTCTCAATTTAGAATCATTTACTTAGTTTAAATTTTGAGTTTAGTTTGAAGATAAAAAATCATGCCATTATGTCTCCAAGCTATTTGGTTGAGGGCTTTATTCTCATCCAAGAGTTCTTGGCATTCACATATGTGTGTGGCATTTATGCTTGGACATTAGACATTAAAAAAAAAAGAGGAAAATTTACATAAATATCACTCAATTCCTATGTATTTACATATCTAGTAACTAGCATTTAATTTTTACATACATGCCACCTTACCTATGCATTAAAATGTGTATTTAACTTTTTAAAAGTTAAAATATTAGTACTTTTTATGTGATATGAAATATTTGGGTGGTATAAATGTAAAAAATAAAGTTAGGGTGTTAGATATATAAATACACTCGGATTGGGATGCTTGTATGTAAGGGTGTGTTTGGGACAGCGGTGTCGTGGCAGTTTTGGTAAAATTGTATTTTGCATGCATTTTTAAAAAACTGCAGTGGAAGACTGTATTTTGCAACTTGATTTGTCTAAGTGTGATGACTGTTAGAAAGCTACTACTTTTTAAAAAAAAAGAAATTTGTAATAGTCACCGTAGCTTTTTGAACAACAGTTTCTTCTGCGACAGCTTCATAGTTGTTTCTCAAACAACTACTGTTGTCCCAAACAGACCCTTAATGTGTTTAAATAAAACAAACTAACTAAATAAATAACAAAAGGATTGATGATGCACCAAAAAATTAAATTAATTTTTCGCTCCGATTGGTATCAATCGGCAGACTAATAAGCAAACTTGTAGTTAGATATATTTATCAAGATCAAACTGATTCTCTTACCCTAATCAATCTCAAATTAAGCTTAAAAAGGCATATCCAACACCTAAACTTCGACATCACCAATCTTTTACATCACAACTAACGGTCAGAAGTGAAATACATCTTTCATGCATAGATTTCTATCACCAAAGTATTATAAATGTAAATATCAAACTTATGCATTAGATATGCAAAAACACATATTAATAATGTGTGTATGCATGTAAATATCATTACTTATGGTGATCATCAACTGCGCAGCTTCAGGTTGGGCTATTCCCAGTTGGTTACACAGACAAATTTGCAGAGGTAGTTGTGGAGAGTGCATGCAGGGGTGATGAGTATGTAACTTGGCCTTGTTGGTACAAACCTTTTCATGCAATCATGTTTTTTGCACCAGAATTAATTGATTTGTATTCAAGAGCATTCTATCTCACCAAACCAGGTGTTGATTCCAGTAAGGCACTTAGTAGAAAAATCTTAGAGGTTACAGGTGCAAAAAAGTTTCTATATCCTCCTTCTATTAGATCATCATCCCCTGCTATGTTGGGCAACACAAAGTAGTTTTTTTTTTTGTTTTTTTTTTATTTTAATTTATTTTATAATTATTATTTTTACATAAGTTATCTAAGAAATCAAATGGGGTTTAGTTCAAAAGCATTAGATTGTGATTTTCTTAAATCAAATGTTGAATAGTTTGTGTGTGTGAAATTTGATGTGTAGATGATTTCCTATTTGTTTTGTAATTGATGTTGTGGCCTCATTTAAATTAATGAAAAATAAATCATTTGGAATAAATATTTGTTTGTGAGAGAGACTTATTGTATGGTGCTATTTTATTGTTTCTTATAAATTAAAAATTATATATAGATCTCTCTGTGTGCCTCCAGCTATTGCCTGTTAGTAGAGCAACCCCTTTGAGGTCTTAAGTCTTCTCAGTTCACAGGTTTGAATCCCCATCTCGCTAGTTTGTTGGTAGTGAGGACGATCCTCGAATAGTTTACACATGAGGGTGGTTCGGGGCTTGTATGATAACCTCGAACCATTCTTTTGGAATTATTAAATTTAAATTTCTAAGGTTTATTAAATCCTAGTTCAAGAAATTAAAATATGTATATTTAGCTATATTTTAAAAATACTCAAAAAACTTTTCATTATTTCAAGTTGCTTTTGATCAACTCAAAATATATCTGGTTTTATCATCTTTATTATCAAAACCATTATGAGACATTGTATCTACATCTTGCAATATCTCTATATGTGATAAGTTTCGTCCTAATTTGGGAGGAGCAGAAGGTTCAACAATTGATGCAAAAAGTTAAAGAATTTATATAAGTTTGGCAAATGAGTTTAAATGAATTTGAATGTGGGGGGATAAATCCAGCTGATCGGAGCTTATGATTTTTAGATATGATTTAGCGAAAATAAATAGATAGAAGAAAGTTGAAGATTTGATATAAGTTTAGTAAACGAGTCAAATTCTAATGTCAATTACATAAAGACCACCCGAAACATGCTTTTTACAAATCAACCCACCCCATTGCATACATTTTTCAAAATTCACTCAAATATCAAAATTCAGGGTGATTAATTTGTAAATATTAATGTTTCAGGGGGTTTGCTGTAAATATACCTAAATTGTAAGATTGCATAAAAAAACAATGGCTGAGATTTAATCATCAAATATAAACTGAAAGGCTGACATTTCTTCTGAAAAAAAAAAAAATAGTATAAATAATTGAAATTATAAAGTTAAAAACTATAACTAATATAAAATAATAATATTAGAATTTTTAAATAACATCCAATATAAAAATGCTTTTAAAAAACGCAAGTTATAAATGTTAATTCAACGAAAAATTATTCCATATGGACCACGCAGCCGGATCTAAATGTTAATTCAACGAAAAATTATTCCATATGGATCGGACACCCCACGCAGCCGGATTGTAAATCACTTGATTAATGGTCCCGATGTATTTTAGTGGGCCTCACCTAAATTTTAAAAAAAAAAAACAAAAATAATCCTGACCGCACTTGATTAATGGTCCCGATGTATTTTAGTGGGCCCCACCTAAATTTTTTAAAAAAAAAACGAAAATAATCCTGACCGTAGACACCGCATGCAGAGATGCATGCGGTGTCCGCACGCAATAATTTCTCCAATTCCACAGCTCAAGGAAAACGCCATTTTTATTTGAAGGAAAGCAATTATAATTAAAAATTTACCTGCATGCCACTAAATTTCTACTTATTTACATATCTAACACCTAAACTTTAATTTTTACAAACATATCATCTTACTTATAATATATTTTTTATTTACATGCATAACTACTTTTAGTATTACATATGTAAATCTCGCTAAAAAGAGAGAGCATTTACATACATATCACCCAAAATTATAAAATTTGCATATCTCACATTTATTGTTTACATAAACAACACCATTTCGAAATCTGAAGTTGATTTGGGTAGAATAAAAGTGATTTTCATAATATGTGAGTAAGAGCCCGTTTGGGGCAGTTTATAAGTGCAGCAACGTTTTTGAAAACGCCGTCTAAACGTTTGGTTTGCGTTTTTTATTTTAAAACGCTACCTGCCGCATTTAGGTTTTTTACAGTAAACGTAAGTTGCGGGTCGACTCCCGCAGTCAACCCGCAAGCTGCGTTTCAGAATAAGATGTTTATCTTGAAACGCACAAGCTGACTCAAACAGACCCTAAATCTACTAATTTCAAAAAGCAATAATATGATGCAAAAAAAAGTTAGTTAGCTCTAAATTTGATACGTGCTAGAAAATTTGTGGCAGTTGAGTAGCAGATTGTCGTTTAGCGTAGTACAAAGATTCAACACACTTGAAAAAAAAAAACTAATAATGACACCATAAATTTTTACGTATTAAACTCAGAAAGAGAAAAAAACATGGGATTTTACACAACCGAAGAGTTCCACTATAAAAATATGATTTCATTTGCAACTACTTGTCTCACAAACACGAAATGATGACTAGGTTTCTCAAGCTACAACGTCGATGTGCTGATGAATTTGTTGATAGGAACTGGTGGTGATAGATAGCGATTGATGACGCTGGTCGGTGACTGTTGATAATAATTAACACTGATCAACGACGGTTGGTGGCGGTCGACGGAGGTTGGCGGTGATCTACAAAGGTTGGCGGTGGTTGACATCAGTTAGGTGGTCGACGATGATTAGCGAAAGTCGAAGACGATCAGCGTTGATCGATGGTGATCGACGGTGATGGTGCTGAACTTCAACTCCTTAAAACTTCAAATTTTTTCTCATATCTCAACGTCTAATCCACTCTCATGAAAGTGATGGAGCTCTATTTATAATGTTTTGTATGCAATTAATGCAGAAATCCGAATCAATTTGATTAGACGATCCGGAGAGCTTCCTTCGATTAGACAGCGTTTGATGATGGACATTTGAATGTCTTAACAATACCAGAATTGAGCAATCTTGAGCTCGTCGGCTTCGTCCCGTCGAGACGCTCAATTTGACTATAAACCTATTAAATTTGACATTCGTTCGACCTTCAAAATATTTCTAGAAAACTTCAAAGAGTGGTTTAATGACTTTAATCTGAGATTGATTTGACTAATTTTGATATCATTAGTTCTGTCTCGTTGAGCCGGCCAATTTGACTAAGAGTTTGCTGAAACCAGAGCTCTGGATGACCTTTTATCGAAATTTAAATATTTTTGCTCAAAAAATTACCCCGAGATCTGTATCATGCCTCCAAATTCGTGATAGAAGATTAAAATTTATTGGAACCTTATCAAAATTATTGAATGAATGGCACATGATCGCCAATAATTCTACTGTTTTTTGACACGAAAACTTTGTTCTTTTGCCATGACACAAATACAGAATTCATATATATATATATATATATATATATATAATCATAAAAAATCAAATAAACAGAAAGAAAAAAAAAAACAGAACTCCATTTATTTCATTTATAAAAAAACACAAAACATAAAATATATGAAGCCCCAAAAAGACCAATACACGAATTTCTCCATCTCCACGCTTCCAAACCCTAACACCCTAAACTATAGATTCAACGGCCGATACCTTAGACCAGCACATTGTTCACAACTAAATTCCTAAAACCCTAGCAATGGATTTTAGAAGCAACAAGAGGGAAATCCTGCGGAGTTAACCAAGCATACTTAAATCTTACCAGCGCACCGGGAGCGCCCGCCCCCCCGCCGCCGACAAGACACCGTTCTTCGTCGAGCGGTTTGATCGATCTCGGATCGACGGCTTCCACGCTGCTGAGGCCGTAGCAGCGAACCACAACCCTAGATTGCAGACAATGGCAGAGATTGCTTACATGCACCTCGTATTCCGGTTTTCCTTCGACGATCCGACCGGTTCGAGACTGGTGGACGGAGATATCGGAGCTCCGGCAAGGGGCGGATCGAGCTCCGGAGATGGCGAGGAAGAGAGCCGCTAGGATTGAGAAGAGCTTGAGAGGTCTGGGCATGGCGGACTCGCTTTCTTCTGCTTCTCGAAATTAGGGTTTTTCGCTGTTATCTCGATGGAGATTTGGGAATGGAGGCAGGGTTTTTATAAGAGGTGGGAGTGTGAATGCCGGGAGTTGTGTTTGAAGGCATGTGAAGGCACCGCATGAGGAATTTCGGGTTGAGTTATTTACACATTTTACCCTCTATTATTATGTATTTACACATCTACCAAACATTTTCTTTTTATACCAATACAAATATATATATATAATATATAAAGTTAAATGCAAGGCTGTGAATTTAGCTTGAAGATCCTTAACCGTTTGGAGATTAATTTGAATTTTGATTTGGATTGAAATCGAACTAAAATAAATGAGCCGAGCTACAAGTCAAAATTTTGGATCTAGTTTCTTTTCGAGCTGATCCCAACTAAGCTCGTAATCGGATCTTCAATAGCCATAGTTAAATGCATCTTGTGATGCATACTTAAGATATAATAAAAAAGTGGTATTTGAGAATATCACTTTTCATATGTGCTTATTCGTTCCTGTAAGGATATAACTCGGGTCAGAAGGATCTTACAACTGACAAATCAACTCCCTCACGATGAGATATATATATATATATATATATTGAAATTTAAGGGTTGGATGTGTAAAAACATAAGAATTGAGTGGTATGCATGTAAAACCTCGCTCGTCATTTATTTTATGGGTTATTTAGACGAGTGGGCCCCATTGCATGTGAGGCCGGCGGTAATGGTGGGGAGGCATGAAAAGGAGGAAGATGCCAATTTAGGTTAGGGTTGAAAGATGGGATATCAAGACTGAATTAATTTTTTATATATTTTTGATATATCCTCAATAAATGTTTATAATGAAACTTGAAGTATGCATGAAAGATTTTGAATTCACATTAAAGATCATATAGAACTTTGATTTCAAAAATTTTATAAGCTAAATTGACTGGTTCGACGAGACGGACTCAATGACGTCATAATTGATCAAATTCAAGTTTGATCAAAATAAGATCGAATGGTTAAATAACTTCTAAAAAATTTGGATGGTTAATTAAATGGCCCAATGGATTCCAATTTTAACAAGCTTATGGTAAAATTTAGCGTCTCGACAATGCGAGCACAAGGTTTACTCAATCCAAACATTTTTAAGGAACTCAAATATCAAGAAAATATTATCCGATGAAAGGAATCTTTTTGGCTCGTTAGATGCAGTGGTGCAAATTAGGTCTCTCTTAGACTATAAATAGAGCTTCACCCCTTCCATGAAGAGGGATCAAGATCTTGAACTGCAGAAAGCGTGGAGCATAGAGTAGAAGAAGTTGAGCTCCAGTATTCTATACTGAAAGTCCAACAAACTCCACCGCTCCGGCAGTCGTCGATCACCGTTGACCACCGCTTTCCGATTGTCGTTCACTGCCCCCTGCTCATTGCAATGAGTCTCCTTACAGAGTCCCGATGTATGCTGCATAGTAAGATAACACAATGTAGAGGAATGACCAACCTTACCGAGTGACGAAACACATTGTAGAGTAACAATCAACCTTGCGGAGTAACAAAACTTCCTACGGAACAACGCATCATGAAAATGATGTACCAACACACCCTGAAGATGTAACGCCTCAAAGATGATGCAATGTGCACCCTGCATACAGTGTAGTAACACACCCTAAAGATTGTGTAACAACACACCCCGTAAATGATATAACAAAACGCCCATAATACGTTGCAACGACTTCTCCTAACGACAGTGTAATAACGCACCCAAAATGCGGTGTAACAATGCCCCAAGAATGAGTAATAATGCCAAAAAATGGTGCAACGTGCACCCCACGTATATTGTAGCAACATACCTCAAAGATAGTGCAATGACACCATGAAAATAGTGTAATAATGCACCTTGACTATGGTGTAATGATGTGCACCACATATGGTGCAATAACATCTTTCAAAGGAGTTGTAACAACGCATCCCGTAGTAACTATGTATAATCTCTGTACTCATGATACAACGTTTTTCTCTGGATTTCTGAAGCTCTCTCATTGCATCTCCCAATTTCTGCCTTTATGACCTATAGGCATTATCACGACTTGCAAGGTTCACAGCTGACGCACCTCCCAACTCCGCTCTATGTGGCCTACGAACATTATTACTACACCCAGTTATGGCCTATGTGCAAATACACCTTACATGGCACAAAGCTCACACAACTCTTAACTCCAGTCTTTGCAGCATACAAACGTTATTATAACACTCCGCTATAATTTATGTGACCAACTACGGCCGGCGTGACTCATAGCCCACACAACTACTTACTTTGGCTTCTATGACCTTCAAATGTTATCCCAACTCTCTATTATGACATACATGACAAATTATGACCTTTTGATTTGCTTAGTTGTGGCCTATGTGCAACCAGACAACTTTTATAGTATCAATTGTGGGCTTGTGGTTTATGGTTGTGGCCATGCGATTGAATCGTTGCTGGCTTTGGATGTGACTTATCATATACATCGCCTAATGCTTACATTGAAATTTCAGACTGATCTCTATAAAATTAATAATTCTATGCATCATTTTAAATATACATGCTTGTTCAAAATTATTTTGGTTAATTCTAATTTCTTCATAGAAATATGTATTTTGGTTATTGTTATATAATTTTAGTTAAAAATTCTTATTTTGACTGTATTTTATCGTAAATTCAAACGTTTTGATCGAAACATAAACACAACATTACCGAGCAAATTCAAAACACGAGCCGATTTTGAACATAATGATTAACGAAAAAGCTGAACACGAATTAAACCACGGCTCGTTCATGTTCCGCTCATTTACACCCGTAGTATTTATCCTCCTCATAATCTAGACTTGAGTGTGAAAGGAACACTATTAAACTAAAAAAGCGAATTTTTTTTTAGGGGGACAAAGATAGTACTTCACATAGAAAAAATTTTGATCCGTAGTATTTATCCTCCTCATAATCTAGACTTGAGTGCGAAAGGAACACTATTAAACTAGAAAAGCGAATTTTTTTTTTTTAGGGGGACAAATATAGTACTTCACATAGAAATGATTTTGATCATGATCCTCCACTGTCTGAGACATGTAAATAATGAAGTTTGAGTGTGAGCTAAGTAAATTATTACATTCAAATGTGCCATATGGTATGTAAATCCCCCATTTTTTAAAATTTATTGTTTATATCCATACATATCAAAGTGTTGAATTTGATTATATATTTTGCATGTTACAAATTTAGAAATTGCACTATAGTTCCATATGTTGCCTTATATGACTTGTGTTTGGGAAATTTACATAGATACCCCATTTTTTTTCTTAAAATATTGGGCTTACTCAAAGGAGTCACATGGAGTGTTTGGAAGATAAGCTTCAATCCACATGGGGTTTGGTAATTTGAGTGTGTGAGTCAGCAATGATGCATGTGAGGGAGGGAGGGTTGGGGGGGAGAATATAAATAAATAAATAATTAAGGAAATGGTATATTGGTCAGTGGGATCTAATAGAATAAATGTTTGTTAAAATTTTGTACTATTTATGCATATATATATATATATATATATATATACATATCCCACTCTCCATGATTTTGGTTGGCATCTACGAAGTCACTCTCCATGATTTTGGTTGGCATCTACGAAGTCAGTTTTAAGTTCCCTGGGGTCACAGATTTGTGCCCGCTGGAGTGCATCTACCTTGTAGCGCGAGGTCAAGTGGTTAGATACCTAAAAATGGCTAAGGGCTCGTATCATAGCCTTCGACCATTCTTTTAATATATATATATATAATATTATGTCATCAACATTAATGGACAATATAAATCAGATATATAACTAAAACCAAATGATGCTACATACTCCTAGACTAGGCTAGCCCAACTAGCTCGAACCAAATCTAACATAGCGAACCTATCAATGATGGTCAGCAATGGCAACGACGACTACAAAAGTAGTTCACCAACAACAAGCTTTTTTGAGGGCCCTAGCTAGCTCATTACACTTTAGGTTTAGTATTTAAAAACCATATTTTTGTTTAAGAATAAAGTGCCCAAATAGTGACTCAGTTTGAGAATCTTCAAAACGATAACTACTTCAGCCCAAATTTAAAAAATGTTTAAGAATAAAGTGCCCAAATAGTGACTCAGTTGATAACTATTTCAGCCCAAATTTAAGAAAAAAATATTTTAACATTTCTATAAATTATGAGACTGAAATAACTTCATGTAAATAGTCAGGGACAATTTAATATGCATGAATATAACATTTCATGTCATTACAATGTAAATTATATTACTAGGGTCAAATGATGCTACATACTCCTAGATGAACATAACCGACGAGCTCAGACCATATCTAGAATATCCAATCAATCAATGATGGTCTGGCAACAATGACCACAAGCCGCTACCACATCAAATTCTCAACAATGTATCCATGAACATACAAAAAATCTCACAAGCAAGTGGATCATCAAAATTTCAATCTATAAATCTTAAAAAAACACAAATTTGAAATGATTCAAAAGCATTAATCTCATATTTTCTTTCTATGAATCAACTCATCAACTTTCTCTGATTATTTAATCTTATCATTTGATTTATATGCTTAATTAATCACACTAATTAGTTTTTTTTTATGACCGTTAGCTCTAACTATGATCTTATCATTTATGACATTGCAATAACTTCTTAAAACAGCAGTCCAGATATCAGAATAATAACATATTAGATGTATCATAACAATAGCAGACTTTGGCAAACAGAATCACTTATAGAGATTTTCTATTAAAAAGAGTGCACAAATTACATCCAAAATTGACTATTTAGAAAACTGACACTAGACCAGAAGAAAAATAAATTATGGAAATTTACAAACATACCGCACAATTCTTATGGATTTAACATATCTAACACCTTGGCGTTATAAACCTATACATAAAAATATGGTAAAATGCACATAAAATGATTTACGAATGTAATAATTAAAGTTTCGGTGTTAGACATGTAATTACGTAAGAATTACGTCGTCATGTATGTAAATGTCCCAATAAATTATCAAACTTATGTATTCAATACATGCGAGTGCCACAAAACTAACTAACAAATAAATAAATAACTAAACATTTGAAGGGCCACATTGCAAATGAAGATGACTGGATGGTAGTTTTATAAATAGTTAAATTTGGAGGAAAACAAAAGAAAAAATTGCATTTCAAGCAGGGATGATGTTTTTAAGAGAAACTAATACTTCTTTTGAGGCTAGCTTTTTGGCTACCTGCTTGTTTATTGCTGTAGAGGTAGCTCTATGAACACAACCGGCAGCATCTACGTCCGCCGTAACCGTCGCTAAGCCGCCGGAGCAAACTGAAGAGAAAGACTTTGTGTATGATTTCTGGGAGCATAATTCTTCAAGCTCCCTAACAGGATGGATTTCCAATGTATCAGGGCTGACTAAAGGCTCCAGCAATGGCCGGATGCTGTTCCAAACAATCTTTTCGTTACAGCCCGAGTCAAGATAGATCGCGCCGGCAATTGACTCGATTACATCGGCTAGTACCTGTCGATCAAATTGGGTGGGTGGGAGGTGAGGTCTAATATAAACCAAAGCAAAAAATTATGTATGAAAAAGTGTATGTCACGTTTATAAAGTTGAAAATTGTAATATTTTGATGTGATATTGAAATTTTGAGGGTTATAAACATAGATATGAAAGTTAAGGTGTAGATATCTAAATAGATAAGAATTGTGGGGCATGTAAAGATATGCCCAAAGAAGGCACCAAAAAAATAGAATAACATTTATAAAAGGGCCTTAATGAAATAATCACAAATAAGATTTGCGACTAATTTGAGGTAATGCAATTTCTTCATGGAGCGAAAACATGCGTCTACAACCTAGCAAAAATAAAAAATCACCAGAAAGGTCATCGAGTAATGTTGCCATTCCTAAATAAATCTTACATTATAACCAAAACAATTGATATCTTTTATATTTTTCAATCAGGAAGAACGGAAATTAGAAAACTAAATTAGGAGTTTTCTATAATTAGAAGCTTCCTTATTTAAATTATTTTCAATATCTTTATTCTAAATTATTTTCCTCTTAGTTGAATATTTAGATTAGAAATATGTATTATTAAATTACTTAAAATAGATTATATAAAATATTTTGTACCTAAAAAAGATTGTAAGATTATTATTTAGTGGAATGAAAGCAAAGGGAAAAGACATGGAGCCTATTCAGTATTCAACCTATTTCACTCAAAACTTGACATGGTATCGGAGCCAAATTTTTGCGCTAACCACCGATAATCGTTGGAGGACCGTCAATGCTCCCTTCCCACCGGTCTTCTTGCGAGACGGAAAGGGATGAACTATTTCTTTGTCTTGATTCTCGCTACGTCTTCTTCGTTCTACTTCCTCTTCCTGTTCGACTCGAACAGTCTCGACGGAGCCTCTCCTTTGTTCAAACTTTGGCAAACCCTAGATCTCCAGCTTCGTCCGCTTCGCTGGACAGTGGTTTAGGTTTTCTGTTTCCTTCTCGCCTCCTCAGTTTTCTCTATTTTGAGTTTGCAAATTCTAGTAAGATTCACACGACGCACTCGACCTTCTCATCCAATCTATTTTTCCTTCAAAAGCTTCGAGTTTTGCATTCAAGATTTGATCATTTTGGCTGGTTTCCTAATGTTTGGAGGTGAGAATAGAAATTTTTTTTTTTGGTATTCAATGTATTTGTAGCGGAAGCATGCAGTGGTTGAGCCTTTCTGTTGATGTTTATAAGAAAGTTGTTTCCTTGAACTTGTATTGCCGCGTTATTTTGTAGCTTCTTTTCCCGGCTTTCTTCCCCTTCTCATATATTTCTGCTCTAGTGCCGATCAATGTAAATGAGGATTATTTCCATGAAATCGAACTAAAGCGTTTCCCACTGGTTAAAAAAAAAAGGAAGCATTTGTTTTTTTTTCTTTAGGAGCGATCTCTTTTGCAACAACTTTAGATCTTCTGCACTTTCGCTTCGGCTTCGTCAGCTTCGACTTCTGATTCTTCGTCTCACTCAAAGATTGAAGGCTTCGACACTCCTTCCTAGACCCACGACTTCACCATCTCGGCTTCATGACTTTTGGCGTGAAGATCAAGGAACAAATCATCCTCATTGTCGCAGGAAGAATCAATAGCATTTGGATCGTATAACATGATGTGGATCCTACTTATGGGTTATGATCAATAGCTTTAGGATCAGGATGCGGATCCTACTTGAGGCTATGATCGATAGCATCTGAATCGTGAAATTGGATCCTTTTTGTGGGCTATGATCGGTGGCATTTGGATCAGAATGCAGATCCTACTTGTAGGCTATGATCAATAGCATCTGAATCTTGTAATTGGATCCTATTTGTGGGCTATGATCGGTAGCATTGGATCAGGACGTGGATCCTATTTGTAGGCTATAATCGATAACATCTGGATCGTGTAACTTAATCTTATTTGTGGGCTATGATCAGTAGCATTTGGATCACGTAACTAGAAGCAGATCCTTCTTGTGGCTATGATTCGAATTTCTGGACGAGAATGATAAAGGATTTCTTGCTTTTCTCTGCTCAAATCATGTTATGGTTCAGGAGTTGTCTCTGGGCTTTGGCATTATCAGCTTCGACACTCATGGTCAATAGCATTTGGATCAGGACGTGGATCCTACTTGAGGCTATGATCGATAACATCTGAATCGTGAAATTGGATCCTATTTGTGGGTTATGATCGGTGGCATTTGGATCAGAACGCAGATCCTACTTATAGACTATGATCAATAGCATCTGAATCTTGTAATTGGATCCTATTTGTGGGCTATGATCGGTAGCATTGGATCAGGACGTGGATCCTATTTGTAGGCTATAATCGATAACATCTGGATCGTGTAACTTAATCTTATTTGTGGGCTATGATCAGTAGCATTTGGATCACGTAACTAGAAGCAGATCCTTCTTGTGGCTATGATTCGAATTTCTGGACGAGAATGATAAAGGATTTCTTGCTTTTCTCTGCTCAAATCATGTTATGGTTCAGGAGTTGTCTCTGGGCTTTGGCATTATCAGCTTCGGCACTCATGTAGAAATTTAAATTATTTTCCATTAAATAAATGTCATGAATACATACATTAGATTATTATTATATTTTTATAGACATGAAAACCCAACAAGCATATTATTAGAAATTTAAATTATTTTCCATTAAATAAATGTCATGAATACATACATTAGATTATTATTATATTTTTATAGACATGAAAACCCAACAAGCATATTATTAGAAATTTAAATTATTTTCCATTAAATAAATGTCATGAATACATACATTAGATTATTATTATATTTTTATAGACATGAAAACCCAACAAGCATATTATTAGAAATTTAAATTATTTTCCATTAAATAAATGTCATGAATACATACATTAGATTATTATTATATTTTTATAGACATGAAAACCCAACAAGCATATTATTAGAAATTTAAATTATTTTCCATTAAATAAATGTCATGAATACATACATTAGATTATTATTATATTTTTATAGACATGAAAACCCAACAAGCATATTATTAGAAATTTAAATTATTTTCCATTAAATAAATGTCATGAATACATACATTAGATTATTATTATATTTTTATAGACATGAAAACCCAACAAGCATATTATTAGAAATTTAAATTATTTTCCATTAAATAAATGTCATGAATACATACATTAGATTATTATTATATTTTTATAGACATGAAAACCCAACAAGCATATTATTAGAAATTTAAATTATTTTCCATTAAATAAATGTCATGAATACATACATTAGATTATTATTATATTTTTATAGACATGAAAACCCAACAAGCATATTATTAGAAATTTAAATTATTTTCCATTAAATAAATGTCATGAATACATACATTAGATTATTATTATATTTTTATAGACATGAAAACCCAACAAGCATATTATTAGAAATTTAAATTATTTTCCATTAAATAAATGTCATGAATACATACATTAGATTATTATTATATTTTTATAGACATGAAAACCCAACAAGCATATTATTAGAAATTTAAATTATTTTCCATTAAATAAATGTCATGAATACATACATTAGATTATTATTATATTTTTATAGACATGAAAACCCAACAAGCATATTATTAGAAATTTAAATTATTTTCCATTAAATAAATGTCATGAATACATACATTAGATTATTATTATATTTTTATAGACATGAAAACCCAACAAGCATATTATTAGAAATTTAAATTATTTTCCATTAAATAAATGTCATGAATACATACATTAGATTATTATTATATTTTTATAGACATGAAAACCCAACAAGCATATTATTAGAAATTTAAATTATTTTCCATTAAATAAATGTCATGAATACATACATTAGATTATTATTATATTTTTATAGACATGAAAACCCAACAAGCATATTATTAGAAATTTAAATTATTTTCCATTAAATAAATGTCATGAATACATACATTAGATTATTATTATATTTTTATAGACATGAAAACCCAACAAGCATATTATTAGAAATTTAAATTATTTTCCATTAAATAAATGTCATGAATACATACATTAGATTATTATTATATTTTTATAGACATGAAAACCCAACAAGCATATTATTTTCTTCTCATTGAGTTATTATGAAAACCCAACAAGCATATTTTTAAGTTATTTTTAGATAACTCATTATATTATTTTTAATATTTTTTTGTAGGTTTTAAGCTTCTGAATAAGATAAATAGAAGAGCAAATAACACGTACAGTAGGCTAGAACAACAAATAAAAATGTAACACTTTTATTTATTAATTAAATTAATTTTTTTTATTGACTCTTCCAAGAATATTTGAATATAAACTATTATTGATAGAAATAAAAAAATCAAATAATTTAATTCTCCCATCAGTTCTATTTTGGTTACTTTCAAGTCCCAAGTCGGGTCGTGACACTCTATGTAATTGCTACGAATTTTTTAAGAAAAAAAATAATTTGTTGTGTCATTTCTGTTATGATTGAATTCTTTATAATCAAATTAGAATATAATCCAAAATCAAATTATGATAAAAGAAATTTTAAATAATAATCAAACACTAAAAGAACAATGAACAAACTATAATAAATTCACCTTCGAATAATAGTAAAAAAACTTAGAACCACAATCTAAAAATGATTTAACTTTAAACCATGATTAATTACTACTCATATCATGATTGGGTTATAGTCCAAATCAAATTACGAGCAAACAATGACTGAACACCAAAAGAGCAATCCATGAACTATAACCAATCCATCTTCGAACAATAGAAATAATTTTGAGAGCCACATAAAAAAAAAGATCAAACTTCCAACCATGATTAACTAATCTTCATATTATAATTGAACCTCTTTCAAACGATCTTGATCCATGACTGAATATTGATTGCATGATTTTCATATTATAATTGAATCTATTTTGAATTATGATATGCATCTTCGAAACATAATCAATCAATAATTGAACCATCTTTTCACATGTTCTAGATACATATATTTTAAAATATGCAGTAATCCTTTGTTTGGGGTATTTTAGTCAGAAAGAAATATTTAGACACATTTTTATGAGAAAGCAAATAAAAGACATAGCTCTCCAATTTTCACTATTATGAGGCAAAAGACAAATTTCCCTTCAATTTTGTTCAACTATGCAAAGATCAGCCAACATTCTATTCCATTGCCTAAGCCTTCAAAGAGCATTACTTCTCAAAACATAACATAACCACTCCCCAACACCCTCAAAAAAATATATATATAACTTGAAAAACAAGTAAAAATTGCACATGAAAAAGTATCCCGTGAAATAATTGAACAAGCAATAAACACAAAATAAATATAGGAATGCTTTACCTTTGGAAGAGCAACACCAGCTTCCCATCCACAAGATGATCCAGAAAAGGATCGTGTGATATTGTTAAGATAAAATGTCATATGTCTATGCAACTCCGGTGATGCATGAAGAATGTGCTTGTTTAAACCAACTTTAGCTGCCGCGTGCGCATAACAATCATTATTAACAGAAGCAGATCTGAGATCAGTCAATAATCCTGGTGTTGCACCTGGATAACTATTATATAAGTGCAAGGTTATCAGATAATCCAGAACAGCATCACCTAAAAACTCAAGCCTCTGCAACAGTAAAAGTTTGAAGTTAGAATTTACTGAAACTTTTGATATTCTAACGACAGTTAATCTTTTACATTGGAGAATAATTTACAAGCTAAAATGAGCTACAATATATCCTATAGGTAGCAAACACAAAATAGGATAATAAAAGGAAAAGCTAATGATAGCGTGCTTTACAATGTCCAACTACAATCAAGGTAACAGCATATGAATCTAGAATTGTCTGAGGGTATAATGTAAAAAAATTGAAAAACCATTTACTCTAGAATTTATGCTAGGAAACATGCCATAGTCTTGGCTATCTCCAAGCCAACAAGTCGTTTAAATAACTGTTCCGCCAAAAAATCATTTAAGTTTTTACCGACACCTCTATGAATTCTCGTTTTTGTCAAATGTTAGTGATCATCTTGATGACGACTTAATGCGGGTGAAGAAATGTGAGAGAACCGTAATTCCACAGGGTCACAGAATCCCATAATTTTGCCGGATTGCAGGAATTCCTGTGAACACAAGAATGTTGTGGCCGATGTTTCCTTAATTCATTCTTCCAGGAATTCCTGTGAACACAAGAATGTTGTGGCCGATATTTCCTTAATTCATCACGCAATTTCTTCCTTTTTTTTTCCTGATTTCCTTTCTATTCCTCTATTTTCGAAGTAGGTCATTCGTTTTTAGGGAACTATCTTAAATGTTATTATTTAATTTAGGAGACTTATACTTTGATTTGAGTGTTACAGGGACTGTAATCTTTGGTTTTTATCCAATGGAGTGATGTATCCTTTTACTTCTACAAATGAAGTGTCTATAACTTGTTTAGGAACAAATGGTCAATCTCCTCGAACTCCACACCATGCCATTTTGTGGTTCTCCTTTGTTGTTTTCAATCGGGATAGCCATCGAACGCCATTTATCTCCCTCTAAATACGGTCGACTGCCTCTATTATCATCCCTTGTCATTCCAGAACCGCCTTCCCCCTAAATCCACTTTTAGGAGTCGTAGAACAATATTATTTGGTATCAGAGCCGATAAACCATAATTTTTCAGGGATTTGTCCTTCATACACCTAATCATAGAATTCATATAACCTAATCTAACCCAAAAAACAAAAATAATAAAAAATAAAAAAAAAATAAAAAAAAATAAAAAAAAAAGAAGAAATTCCACAATCTTCTACTTAACCCTAACCTAGACCTAGACCAAAATTTTTTAAAAATCAAACATTCAACCTCCACCAAAATCTTGCCTCGATGCCTAGTACCAAAACCCTAATTTTAATT